CTTAAAAAAGACGTTTTCTGAGCAAATGCTAGCTCTAAGAACTCAGATCTGTTTGTTTGCAAGTCATTTGTCATTTTATTATTTGCTTTTTCTGCAAATTACATCCTCTTAGGCTGGGCTGTTAGCTCAACTGTGCGTCTGCTCCCCCTGCCTTTTTCTGCTTTCTTCTTCTGCCCTCTACACACTATTTCCTTCCCTGCTGCTACCTGGGCATAGCCTCCATCCCTCCTTTCTTCCAAAAACAAGATCCTCCCAACACAGGGCACTGCACCCAGGCCAGAGCTAGCACCAGGCACCTGCCTCCGACTCCTGCCTCTTCCCAAAATACACAGCACAGAGTGAACAAATAAAAGCAATATCCTACCTCATAGTCCCAAATAGATTGTGAACAAGCAAAAGATAAAAGACTTTGAGCAGATACCCCTGAATTAAGAAGTAAATATTACACAGAAAAAGATAAGCTTCAGCTCTTAAATCACTTAATGCTTCCCCTGAAGTCACAGATCTACCACAGGCCAGGGAAGTCAAATCCAGGCTGTTTTAAAAGATGAAGGCAAGGAGGAACACTGCAGGCAGGACTCAGCTTTCCATCATGCTCTTTCATCTCCAGCAATCCTTGTTTCTCATCTGACACATCTCTGCTGTAGTCTGCAGTGCTTTTAATATCAGAGATACATGCAAAAATTTTCAGTGTCAAACCCACAGCAACAAAGAGTTCCAACAATTTTTGTGAAATACATATTTTCCCCCTGCCTGGTCAAACTCTTTAGCAGTATCAGTTAAATAGAGCTGCATAAATCCAATATAAATCAACTGTTCCGCTGTTCTTCAGCTTGGAACTCTTAAGTATCATTATGCTTTCATACTGCTCTAACTCAGCCAAGCAGCAAGTGGTATCTGCTAATAAAATGGCCTTTTTGTGAGGTGCTCATAGAGTATCTCTGCATAACCAAGAGCAAAAACAGTTGCATCCCTCCTTTTGGCAAACTGTCAGCTAGGCAAGATACTTAGACTAACCAAGCAATGTATACTAACACCACATGCTCCAGAGTATTCATAATCATGCAAATATCTTTGGCCCATTGACTGAGTTTCCGCAAGTGAACAATTAGTTTCTCCTCTATAAATTTTAATAAGCATAGGGCAAACCATCTACACTGTAGCTGTTAGCTTTCTCCTCATCTCATTATTACACAAAAATCCATTTGGCATTTGTCAGCTTTCTCTGTATATCTTCAGAAGAAAATTGGTCTCAATATTCAGCAACTTCCTTTTTTAATACTTTGTCATAAACAAAAACATTTATTCACTGCTCCTAGATTTCTCTATGCGACTAGACAAGAAGAGTTTCACTTGGCAATTGTACTTCAGAGTATTTTCATAAGCAAATCACCAACTATTCATAAGTTTTACGTGGATCTACTATAAAAAGGAAGTGCTTGCTCCACTTTTCAACACACAGATGCAACTTCATTACAGGTTCAAGGATGAGCAACTCTAAATGCATAAACTCATAACCAATTAGCATTATGGAGAGATCTTCTGTACTTTGAAAACAATTTATGCAAGTAGCTAAGGGAAACTTCCCTGTGATTATTAATTATAGTGGGTAATTAAGACTATTAATCTTACTGACTTTTTCCTACTAATTCACTTCAATTACTTGGGAATACTTGGAAATAAGTTTTTTTGTTTTTTTTTTTTTTTTTTTTTTTTTTTTTTTTGGAACAGTTCTTGTTCCAGCCTTGACCAAGAGATCCCTTTTCAGATGAACCGTTAGAGCATGGAAAGTGCATTCTCTCTCTATAACCAGTACAAACCACATGTAAAAGAACCCAGTTCAAGTGTCTGGATTAAAGACAGCTGCAGTAATTTAAATTGCACCTGTAGCATGGCAGTACGAACTTCTTCACTGATCTCACATACATGCTTTCCAGCTCAGCTGATGTCAGGACATATAATAGTGAGAAGCAACAAGGCAGAAAAGAATTCCTTATTTTTGTTAGGGGTGGAAAGCACTTGCTTAAGTACATTATAGTGTGCCTTCAGGCCTATTACTGCTACACTGGCTTGAGGTTCCCAGTATTATAACAATGACTGTCACAGAACCCTGCTGTCAGTTTCAAGGGGCCTACCACTGGCTTATTTTATATATTTAAAGGACTACTGCAACACAAAAGCAATTTTTTTTTTGCCATCTTCACGTGTCAAATGTTTTGCATCTGATCCATGACATTTTCATACAAGGCTTGTATTTCTGTAATGCACAGCACCTTCCAAAAGTGCACAAAGCACTCTGTCACAAGCAGCTGTTTCCTTCCTGCAGCTCCCCAAGAGAGCCCTGCACGTGGATTTTATTAGCTGGCTCAAAATGCAATAGGCCAGGTGTGGAGAGAATATGACAGCAGACACTCGCTAGTTTAGAGAAACAAACAAGAAAAAAGTGATAATGCAGGCTTCCAAACTTTTTTGTTTTGTTTTGCTTCTGCTGTGCAGGTAGGAGAGGTGGCAGAGATGCATAGCTGTGATTCCAACATTCACTAAGGGGACCAGGAAGCAAGTTTAGGCATTGGACACTGACCATCCAAGACTGGCTGTTGCCTAGTTCTTTTCCCTCATGCTCTTTTGACTACTCTACAACCCTTCCCCACCACAGTGCCTGAGACCATTTAGAGACATAGCTCACTCCAGACATGACAGATGAAACTTCTCAGGATTTGGATCATGTCTGAACAATTGTTTATTACTAACCAGAAGGTTTGTGGTAAGGGACAATCACTCTGCTAGGCTGCAACAAAGTCTTTGACATAGTCTAAAGTATTTTGAACTGAGGACGGCACCTAAAATATTTTATAACAGAGCAGTTTTGGAGACCCAAAGGAATCCTGGGTTCAAGGACTGTTTAAGTGTAGATTTCCTAAGTGCAAATTTGGCCCATCTGCTCATTCAGTCTGGACATGAACTGCTGCATACCACAGGGCCTTCAGGTGAGGGACTAGTCCCTCTTACTCAGAGCTGTAGATGTACACTCATACACCATCAGAATGATGGTGATTATTCACCTCTAGATGTGCCTTATGCTTTACGGACATACATTAAGCCTAAGTCCCTTCTCTAAGGGCTTGTATCCTGAAATGCATTTAAAGTTTTGATATAGAATCCAAATAGCCCTGAGGCTATTTAATTTTCCTTTCAAGGTGTTGTGGATTTATACTTAGGCCCCTTCTCAAAAGGCCATTTTTGACCCAATGACCCATGATGGTTTCTTCAAAGCAAGCTACAATCTATCAGTCAACTTCTGTTTAGTTCACAGATCATTGATACAATGGAATTTAACAGCTGCTCAGTAGCTATTATAGTCTCTCATGTCAATCTGGTTGCCAAGGGTGTACAACAAATGTCAAAAGTCTTCAAGAATAATTTTAATTGATATTTACTGACCATACACAAGATGTAAGCCTTTATGCCCTAGCTTTTCCTCCAAAGGGTAAAGCCAAGATACCCTACAACATGAGAATTAGAGCTGCCAGAACAAATTGGTCAACACAGCATACATCAGATATATCCTTAAGCTGTAGGAGCTTAACAACACGTTTACTCAATAAATCCCTGCTCTTTGTTTCACTTCTATAAAATAAAACCAGCTAAACTTGAACAAGTTAAAAAGGGAATGTTTTTTTATTAAGACTTCACTTCTATTTTGTTATAGGTCTGTTTTTTTACAATCAGTACTTGAAAATACCATCCTCAGAATGTCATGAATGCATCAAGTTTCAAGAACAGAAAGTCAGGTTATATAGATGGAACAATATTTATAGGCAGACAAAGTAGTTTGTGAGGCCAAATAAATACATGATCTGTATTTTCTGCTTTGAATAAGTAATTGCCAGAGAAAAGAAACAGTACAAGTCTAAAGAAAGTAGAAAGAAATAGTTAAAGATCCCAAAACACAGCCCTGAAATCCAGCCCTCAAAAGTCATCCAAATATGCAGGTCTCTATATTAGAGTAATTAAGATCATGCTTTTTAAACCTCTTGAACTCTAATTTTAGATATAACATACAATATTGATAAAGCAACAGCTCTATTTGAGGATGACCCTTGCCAAGTGACTGAGCAGTTTCCTATGCTCCAAAGAAAGCAGCCACTGTCCCACATGCCTGTACTGCCTCTGACCATTTTTCCTCTGCAGATAGAAACCTTCCCCTGCATTTTCTGCCATGGCTTTGTACATCCACCCTGCCACCATCTGAGATGAGGATAGGTCACAGAAAGTAAGTACTGTGGGTGCTGAGGAGGCCAAAGAAAAGCAGGATGATAGGTCCCTGTGGAAGAGGCAAGGGGGTGATGCAGTCCCAAGGAAGCATCACTGACAAAGACCAGTCTGGAATGAAGACTATTCTCACAGCAATGCACACAGGACATGAAGAGCAAAATTTACAAGTTTCTGCTCAAAGCCACATTCAGTGGCGGTTTGGAGAGACACAAAGGCTGAACATGGAAACATGAAGCAGCAGCTATCTTCCTCTTTTGGTATTAGCAATCAATTTTGTCTATGTTGGTAAGAAGACAAAAAAAAATGTAACCTCCCTTTCCTTTATTAAAGAAGGAAATGGGCAGAGATGCACTAGATTAGTAGTTAAAACATGAGAAATGCTTCTGTGGCCTACTTTCAAAAGGTAAAAATAAAGTCTGCTGTTTGACTAAAAAGTGTCCTAAACACTAGGCTCTTAGCAAGGAGTAGGCAGAACCTGAGACACCACTTGGAATGTAGTACTTGGAATCAAGGACTGGGAGAATTACAAACAGTACTCTGTCCTCTAATGCTCATACGTGATGACACTTGAGCACATATGAGTAAGACCATGTGATTTTTGCAGTGAATGAAGAGGAAAGACTATAATAATTTATTACAATATTTCCTCAAAACATTTTTATATTTCCTATTATATCCATCAAACTGCAATCAGACTCTGACCAGGAGCGTAGGTATTTACATACCCAGAAAACTTTCTCAGACTGTCAGGGCTTCTCTGCCACCATCCTATAGGATTTTGGAGTCATGTGGAAAAGAACCTGAAAGGAAGAGCTAGGATTAGAGCTGCATTCAGGTAGAGGGGTAGACATCAGTTTTCATTTCATCTGACAGAAGTGACAATGAACACTGTATTATTAGATAGTACGGGAGTGATAAAATTCTCTTCTTCCACATCACCTTCTAGTGGATGCCTTTTAAAAGAGTGCTCTTAGTTGAGGGTTGTAAACTAAAGGTTTGAGGAAGTGGGACTTCGTGTTTTGCATACAGATTATCATGCTTGCTCCCTCAGGTACATATGTAGCACAGAAAGGCTGGACATAAGGCTTGCTCATATCATCTGAGGTTTCTATTTGCTAGTAAAAGGCATGTCCAGCATGCCAATTTTAAGAGGCTCCAGGATGCATAGCTGGTTCTGTACAACCTAATCACTTAGCCCTCAGCTCATATGTGGAGTAAAAAATATTGGGAATTCAGGTCATTGCTGGGAGATAAGATCCCTTGAAGAGAAATTGAAGATTAATCAGGTAGTTCAGGAAATCTATTGTGAGGAAACTGCAGGCTCAGTCAATGTTGTCAAGAGGAGAATTTAGTCTCAGAATAATGAATATGAATAAGGCTAAGCTAAAAAGAGGAAAGTTTACTGATTAGGAAGGTCAGATATGGAATACATGGCTTAAAGAGGTCACTATGGAACTCTTGATACAAAGGAGTTAACTTAAATTTGAACAAAATTATTAAAATCACTGTTCTAGTTTCAAGGTCTGAGTAGACTAGCCCTCACATTCAGAGGAAAGAAAATGAGACTGTGTCTGAGCATCCATTTATGACTAGGAAAATATGTCAACCTGCTTCAAGGAATATCACTTTAAAATAAAATATTTGATTTTTTTTTTTTTTTTTTTTTTTTTTACAATCCTGTGGGTTTCTAGAAAGTTTCTGGTGTGCTTGTTCATGTAATTAGATTGTCACAGATGCGTTACAAAGCTGTTGAGCTATATTAATTGACCTGTTTTCTTTTCCAAAGTCAGAAATGTTTCATATGTAAACTTCTCAGAAATATATTTATTGTGTTGTTCCAAGAAGTGAGACTGTATCAAGAAAATGCTTTCCACTGTTCTTCAACTTATTCCCACATAGATATGGTCTCAACCGTATCTAGACACAAACGTACTTTCTGAAACATAGAAGTGAATGAAAATAATTGATATCTTCAATATCAAGTACCAAGGATATATTAATAGGAAACAAGCTATAAATATTATTAATATCACAATCATTATTCTATACACAGGCAAATTAAAGCACCGAATATCAGGTAGCTATTAGATTGGAGTAATCAGTAAAACATGCTAACAGAAATCACTAGAAGATCACTGCAAAAAATGTCCACTGTTTTTATCTCTGCAAAATTCAGGTCTTCAAAACAAGTCAGGCTCCCGTTTTTTTTGGCTGATTAGTTTCCTGGAAATGAACTTCTGTATCCCTGCAAAATTAACAGGATGTTCTCATTGCCCTCTGTTTACAACCCTCTTTTCCTTGAAAAAATCCCTAAAGGAGAGGCTGCTTGGGAGTAATGTAGGGCTCTAACACCAGTCCTTTATTCTGCACTAGCCACTGAACTCAGCAGGCAGCAAACAGCCTTGATTAAGTTATTTGTATTCCTCAGAGGTTTGCTGCTGCCTGGGTTCTCTCTGCAGTCCTCTAACCCCCAACAGGAACTGCTGAACAACTGAAAACAGTCCTGGCTGTTATATGCCATTAAGATATAATGATTGTCTTATGAGCATAGAACAGCAGCGTGCATTTAACTTGAGCTGCAAAGCTTTGGCCTCACTTTTCATTACACTAGTCTACCAGAAAGAGCTGAGAGGTTTTAAAGAGCTCTGATGCACAGACAAATCCTCAACAGGACACTGAGTCCTCAGCTTTCCCAGTTTACATGCATCTGTTGCCCCCTTTTAACATGCTCTCAGCTTTTAGACATTCCTAGCAATTGAAGATATTTCATTAGACTTTACAGCATGAATAAGTTCCTCAGTAAGTAACACCTGGCTGGGCTGGAGGAGACAAAGAAGCCAGAATAAGTCTCTCCCTGAACAAGCGGAGACAGATCTAGACATTGTATACAAAGGTATGATATGAAGCATCTAAACAGCTAAATGACACTCATAAAACTGACTTTCCAGAACACCCCAGTTCTCTCATAAGGATTTCTCACCACACTCAGAAGTATTTCTATCTCACATATTTATAATACTCTTTGACCATGTTACCCATGACGATGCATAAAACAGAAATAGCATAAGTAAATGCAACCAAGAGACTTCTTAAATAAAACGGCAAGTAAAAAACTGCTTAGTGTTCTGATAAAATAGTAGGGTAAAGACAATTCTTGTTCCTTAATTTACAGATCTAACCTGAGAGAATTTAAACTTAATCAGTAAAACAAGCAAATATGGTAAATTCCACGAAGTAGCAAGGGCATATCGCTTTCATACAGTACCATATTTAACTAGCTTGAAAATATGAATCTAAAAGTGATTTCTAAAATACCTTTCCTTTTTCCTTTCCTCTTTAAGTACTATTTGATCATTACTTTCTGTTTAAACTCCAAATACATTCAGGGCAATAGTTCATTCTGTAATCAATTAAAGCAAGCTCTGGGGCACAGAGTAGGGTTTAGGGACTGATAACCATGGAAAAATACGTTGTTAGGTTTCCCTGCAATACTTTTCTAAAAGAGTTTTCACAGGTGTCATTAGGCTCATTATTTCTTAAACACTACAGATATTAGCATCAGCATAAAACCACTGTTCAGATATCCTCCCTTTTTCTGTCTATTCCTTCTCTTACTATCTTCTTCAAACTTACTATCTTCTCCAAAGCAAAGTTATCACATTTAAAAATCCTTCTTCCTCTTGTCAGCAAGAGGCTCTCATTCTCTTGCTTCAAATCCCTCCATATAACTTACATTTTACTAAGATTGACAGTAGTGCTCTAAATGCTGTCAGTATAGCATCTTATCTTACAATTCTACTCTTATCTTGTATATCATATTTGTCTAAAATCAAATTCTTAATTGCTTGGGGCTTAAAGTTGCCTCTCTGCCTCCTTTTATCTTAAAGCATTCCCAGGTCCAAGTGTTTCCCATCCTGACTGGTTAATTTGTAGGAGCTACGGGATCACTTCATGACAGCTAGAACAGCTGAGGTTACCATACCAGTGAACTAGGAATCAACTAAGCACATAATATTTCAGCTCCATGTTTTTCACTCCAACAGAAATCCATCACTGCCATAGGACTGGTTACATGGCATTCTGAAAGTTGCCAAGGTCAACTCATGTTATTTCATTTTCAGAGAGATATCCTGCTAGAGTAGTGAAGATACTTCATTTTCCATGTATTTTAATAAACTAACATGAAGTGACTGTAAATTATTAATCTCACATATACTATATTGTCCTTAAAACTTGGTAATCTGAAAAGGAAAAAGAAAGAACCATGAAGTCTCAACAAGGGAACCAAGTGTAGCACAGGAACTTAGACTGCAAAATACAAGGTGCTTTGTGATAAATAGGGAGGGAACATTAACTTTACAACAGGAGAATATGGCAAAGATTAGACATTCAAGACTAAAAGTAGTATAGATGACTTCAGACAAAAATGGGGCAATAAAATGTTAAGGTTTTCTAATAAATAAGAAAACCTTTCTTTGGTGCTAATTATATGAACTTAATGGAACTTCTCCCTGTCAAAATATTAAAACTAACTCACCCAGGAGTCCTGACTATCTGAAACATACATCTCTCTACTGCTTTTGAAGTATCAGTATATACCAGTAAGCTTTCTAATTGACTATTTTATAAAATATAGAAAATCTTCATAAACATAAAATGAGACAATTTAAAGCCTTGAAGGTCTTTGCTTTTTATCTCACCAACACTTCAATGCATATCTTAAATACTGAGAGCACAGGTTTTTAGAAAATGTACCTCTAAGAAATTGTCCAAATAATTACTGCATAGAGAGTGTCTATTCCAAGGAAGGAAAAGTCATGTTACACTTAGCCATTGTTTCCATACACCAGGGTGTTGAGGGCCTCAGTCTGCCTTTTTAGCAAAATAGCTGCATGCAGCTGAGGCACAGAAGCAAGCAACAGCAGCCTTCAATCACACTGTTTTTCTCATCCTTAAAACAGAGAGATTCAAGCATGTTCTAAGTGGCAATAACCACATGGCTTCCAATGTACCATGGTGGAAGAATGGCAGAGCAGGAGTGAGGCCTCTTCCTTGACCATGCTCACAACTGTGTGCCTCCTGCAGGAACTGCAGAGGAAGCAAGGACCCTCATATCAGCACCGAGGGGACCACCAGGCCAGACAGCTGCAGGCATTTCATGACATAAAAGTGACACAGGTAAAAATGGGAGCCAAGATTTTTTTTCTTTAAAGGTATTCATAAGTAGGGATTCATAAGAAATCAATCATTGCCTTTCATCAAAGAAAAAAATACATATTTTTTAATATACAAATATACGCATTTTTTAATATACAAATGTATATTAGTAACTAAGTACCACTTTTTTCTTATTTTTATTTTGACTAAAAGGCACAGGAGAGGCAATAAAAATATGAAGAAATAATTGAGGCATGCTATTTGGAGAGCAATTGGAACATTTTGCATAGTAGTGAGGATCACCTCTACAAACAAACTGGCGCAAGGAATCAGCAGCCCACTGCCAAACAGATAGACCCCTGTTTCCTGCCTGATGGTCAGCTTGCACACACTCTCCCATCAGACAAGATTTGAAGCCTCAGCTCTCAAGGACTCCCTAAGGAACTGCAAGCTCTAAATTCCAGACAGACACACCCACAACCATACTTGAACAAAGATCCTCCTCTCTGTTGTGCCTGAGCATTCACCAGCAGATTTCAAATGCAAAGTATAAGGATAAATAAAAGCTTTTCATCATCTTCTTAGAAAACCCAACACTAGCAAGGGATGCTTTAAGAAGCATGTAAAGCATGGATCAATATTT